CTAGCACTGGAAGCCATGGCAGTGGCAAACAGTCAGTCAGACATAAGTTTGTGCCACCAATGGCTATGGTGGCACTGGCACTGGCAGTGAGAACCAGCATGCAGACCACAAAATGGCAATGAGACACAGCCCATCCCACTCAAAGGTTGCTCAGATGACCCCACAATGGGCCAATTATCATTCTCAACATGAAGAAAACTTGAAAAACATTAAAAAAACATTAGAAAAACTAGTCTATGAAACCCAATGTTTTCCAATGGGATTCAATGTATTCTAATGAATCTATATTAGGATATGAGCTCCCATTGTCATCCCTCTGAAAGGCACCCCTGTTCTCACAGAAGATATAAAGCCATCCCAATGGCTTCTGGTACTTGAGTATGCTCTTCACCAGTGGTTGCACTTCCGGATCTTGCAAGAGCTGCTTGTACCGCTCAGGCTCCTGCAGCTGCGAGTGGGCTGCGTGTTTGCGGGGTGGAAAGTGTCGCGCTCGGCTGGTGAGCGGACCAGAAAGCCAATACATACGCCCGCAGCATGCCCGCTGAAAGCACAAAGTGCAAAGTGCGTCAAAGGAATCATTCTCAGCATCGACATCATGTGACACTAAATCTGGGGGATATCGATGAGACTAGACATGGATCTGGCTCAAAAGAGTGTTGCTCTCAAAAGTGACTGTAAGCATTACTCACCGGACCTTGCCGGTATAACATCCGCTTCAACTGATTGTACTAGCATGCACTTCTCATATATACTGGAATTCTTAGGCCGCCTAAAATGGCCTAAAGATTGCCAAAGCAATCCCTAGGGTCAAACTCCCAAACTCAACAATTCAATTACAGTAAATCACTCATGATGGCTTTGTAAACCTTAGGTCATGTCAAACAGAAGGCACAGCACAAAACCTGCACCCCACGCCGCACGAAATCATATGCTGAAAGAGTTGTACGTCTCATTACGTCTCTAGACTATTCTAGAACCCCAAGCCACTTCTTGCCAAGGCCTTCAAGAAACCCAATTCCTCAACTGGTCAAAAAGGAACCTCCACGATCGTCCGTAGCGTCAATCGCTCAATCGTCTTCGCGTCGAACACCCGGAAACACCGCCGCCCGAAGTTCTCCGTCGCGACGAAACACGGCGATCTGCGGGCCCGTCTCCTCGGGCAAGCTTTCAGGGTCCGGAACTTCGGGCATCTGTGCTTGATGGCACACCGAATAACCTGCCGTGTGCCGTTTCATTTTTTT